CTCCCTCCCTCTTTTCCTTCCTTCCTTCCTTCCTTCCTTCCTTCCTTCCTTCCTTCCTTCCTTCCTTCTTTTCTCTCTGAGACAACATCTCACTACATAGTCCAGGCTGGCCTTGCACTTACTATGTAACTAGGGCTAGCTTCAAACTCTGTAGAGTAGCACACACCTGTAATTCCAGCTGTGTCTTGGGAGGCTGAGGCAGGTGGATCCCTGAAAGTTCAAGGTCAGCCTGAGCTGCATAGTGAGACCCTGTCTCAAGTGCACAGACAGAGAAGACATGAAGGTGGCCGTCCAGAGCTGCTTCAGAAAGTGGCAAGACCTCAACTGGGTAGGTGGGTTTGAGTCAAAGAGGAGGGTTTTGAGGCAGCTTAATGGCAATGTGTCTTTTACTATACTTTTTAAAAAATTTAAATGTTCTCCATATATTTTGATCATCCTTGGTCCAACCCAGCCCAGTGTTCTAATTTTTTGGACAGTTTTTATGTTGAGCTATTTGTCTTTCCTTTATATGTGGATATGAAGATTTGTTAGATAAAAATATTGTGATGTCTCTTTCTTTTTCTTTTTTTTTTTTTTGTGGAACCGGGATTGAACTCAGGCCCTTGCGCTGACAGGCAAGCACTTACTCTACTGAGCCATCTCCCCGGCCCTGTCTGTGATGTCTCCTTCCACTTCATGCTTCAGTTTTTCATTCTCCTTAGAGCTTCTGTTGATAACTAAAAGTTCTATTTCATTTTATTTTTGTCTTCTTGAGGCAGGCTTCCATCATGCAGTTCAGGCTCGCCTTGAACTAACTTTGTAGCTCAGGCTGGCCACAGACTTGCAGCAGTACTGCCACCTCAGCCTCCAGAGTCCTGGGATTACAGATAGGCAGTGCCAGGCCAGAGTGTTAAATTTCAATAAAACTCAACTGATATTTCTTATTTTTATTTATATTTTTAATAGCTTTAAAATGAAACTCAGGGGGGCTGGGGAGATGGCTCAGTAGAATAAGCGCTTGTCTGACAAGCGAAAGGGCCTGAGTTTAATCCCCAGTTCTGCCAAAAAATAAATAAATAAATAAAATGAGAGTAAGACAGTTAAAAAAAAATAAAATAAAATGAAACTCAGCTGTGCATGCTGGTGCATTCTGGCAATCCCAGCAACTGGGTGGTTGAGGCAGGAGGATTGCCAATGAGGATTGCAGGAGGAGGCCATCCTGGGCTATATTAATGAAATCTTGTCAGAAAGAGGGAGTAAGAAAGAATCTTGTCAGGTGTGCTGGGGAGATGGCTCAGTGGAATAAGCGCTTCCCTGGCAAGAGCAAGGGTCTGAGTTCAATCCCCAGTTCCACCAAAAAAAAAAAAAAAGAATCTTGCCAGGGATAATGGTGCACACTTCCAGTCCTAGCACTGTGGGTGGCTGAGGCAGAAGGATCACGTGAGTTTGAGGCCAACTTGAGCAATTGAACTAACTGTACCCTGTCTCAAAAATACAAGCAAGAGCAGAGCTTGATGACACACATCGTTCATTCCAGCCACTTGGGAGGCTGAGGCAGGAAGCTCAGAATTGTGAAGCCAGTTTGACCAATTTATATATTTATTATTTGATTTTATTTGTCAGAACCGGGGATTGAACTCAGGCCCCTGTGCTTGCCAGGCAAGCACTTATTCCACTGAGCCATCTCCCTGGCCCCTATTTATTTTTTAATTTATTTATTTGTTTAGGCCAGCTCAGCCCTCCCTGAGGGTGGGGCTGGCACAGCACGTGGTGCCAGGGATTGAACTGCTGTCACCTAAACAGGCACACTTTAGACTGCCCAGCTATCTTGCCAGACCCAGTTTGAACAATTCAGCAAACCCAGTCCTGAAATAAAACAGGCTGAGATGTAGTTTAATGCAAGGTTTTAATCCCTGGCACTGAAAAAAAAAAATCTGGCTTCAATTTATAAGCATGGAATTTTATCTCTAAGGGTTTTGACTCCTGTTCGAGTTTTGTTTCTGTTTTCTTGTTCTCTACTGGATCTTTGTCTCCTGAAAGCTCTGTTTCTCTTACTCATCTCGTTTTCTGTAGTCCAGGCCAGCGACTGTTCTCAGCTGTGGGCAGTCCTTGCTGTCCAGTCCTGTTTGGATGTCAGGCTCTAAGCATCTGGCTGGGCACCCCAGCAAGCAAGAATGTGGCATCTTGGTGACTCTGGTTGGGCTGGGGGTGGGTTAGGGCCGCCACTCTGGGGGGCCTTTGCTTGTTGCTTGGTGTCTTAGTGGTGACCCCTCTCAGTGCCGAGCTGGGGCTGAGGGCTCTCTGCCACATCTGGGGGGCACATGGGGATGGGCTGGGTGGCTGCTGAATGCCAGCTTCCACTCCACCCACCCATTTCGCACTGGGCACTCTCCCAGCTGCACTCAGGATACCAGTGCAGAGCTCCTTCCACCTCAGCAGCCCCACGGAGAAAGTTTCAGGTTTTGCTCAGTATCAGCATGGATCTCCTTGCTGTAGGTTGCTGGGGAAGGACTGACCCTATAGGTTTCATCTCTTTGTTTTGATGATGACGATGATGATGATGATGATGGTGATGGTGATGATGAGATAGGGTCTTGCTAAATTGTTAAATTTTCCAGGTTGGGCTTCAACTTGATTTATCTTTTATTGTTTTAGCGGAACCGGGGATTGAACTCAGGCCCTTGCGCTTGCCAGGGAAGTGCTTATTCTACTGAGCCATCTCCCCGGCCTGTGGGCTTCAGCTTGAGATTCTCTGCCTCAGCCTCCCAGAATGCTGGGATGACAGGTGTCTCCCTTGGGTTTGCATTTCTTGTTTTTTATTTTATTTTATTTTTTAAATTTTTTTTTTTATGAGCAGAATATATTTATTTAGAGAAAGAAAGCTCCTGCCCAAGAGAGGGACAGGAGGGGTGCCTGAGCAGGTAGTTCCCCTCATTTCTTGTTTTTTAAAAATTTTATTATTATATTTTTTATGTATTTAGTACAGGGTCTACAGGGTCTCACTACACAGATCAGACTTATAATGATCCTTCCTGTTTTTCAGCCTCCCAAGCGCTGGGATCACAGACACACGCCACCATGCCCAGTCTTGGTCTCAGTTTCAGCGTGCTCTGGGGGTGGGGCCAGCACGGCAAGCTGGGATCAAGCCCCTAGCCCCTGCATCTCATTTTTTTAATAAGTATATGTTTGTACCACATACATAATGATTACAGTCTTCATGGGAGTTGATCCATACAAATAACACATCTTTTTGGTTTTTCTTTCCCTCCCCTCTTTCCCTCTCCTTCCATCTCTTGGTCCCCTTCCCACTTGTAAATATCTATCTCCTTGTTTCTTATGGTCTTCTATCCTACCCTACAAATTACTTATATTTTGTTTTTCTCATAGCAATGAAGCCATTAAAGCTAATTTATTTCACTTGAAATTGTGGTCTTGAGGGGCTGGTGAGATGGCTCAGTGGTCTAAAGGACCTACTTAGAACAAGCTTAGCAAAGCACAAGGACCGCGGTTCAATCCCCCAGCACCACATGCCAGCCAGCCCCGCCCCCAGGTGGGCTAATCTGGCCACACACACACATACACACACATAAATTAATTAATTAATTAATTTTAAAAAAAAAGAAGAAGAAATTGTGGTCTTGAGATGCATCGCTCAGTGGCACAGCACCTGCCTGTCAAGCATAAGGTCCTGAGTCCAATTCCTAGTGGAAAAAAAAAAAAAAAGATCTTGGAGGTGTAACAAATTTCTACAAATAACTCAAGCTTATCCTGCTTTGTAGCAGAGTAGTATTCTATTGTGTGTGAATGCCACTTGACACTTTCGCTTTATTCATTCTTCTGTTGATGGACATGTAGGCTGTTTTCAAGATCTAGCTATTCTGAGTTGTGCAGCGATAATCATGGCCATGCGTGGATCACTGTGACACAATGTCTTTAAGTGTTTGTTATTGCTTGATCTCTTGGCCTTACTCTCAGTTCAGGGGGTCCCCAGTGTGCTTCATGGTACTGGGACCTGCTTGTACCTTTGCGCTCCCTGACCCTTCTGGAATCCTCTTTCTTCACATTTCCCATTGGCACCCTTTGGCCTTGCGTCAGGTCTCACGCCACTGTTGCCCTTGACTAAGGAATGAAGGCACAGGCTGGGGAACCTATTTGTTTTCTGGACTCTGGGGTCGCTCCACTTCCAGTGTAGGCAGATCACCAAGCTTCAGGGGGCGCAGGAAGCCACTTGGTCATGCAGACTACTTGTGTCTAAGCTGCTGGCTCCTCCCCCACCACAGGCTGACCAGGTGCGGCTGATGCAGCTCTACGAGCAGGCGCGCTGGGACCTGCTGCTGGAGGAGATTGACTGCACCGAGGAGGAGATGATGGTGTTTGCGGCCCTACAGGTGCCTGGGCGCCAGGGATAGCTGGGGTGCTGGCCCAGGGCAGGGAGAGCTTTCTGGAGTGGGGCCCACCTCTGGGGACAGCTAGCCTGAGCAGAGGGGCTCAGTGCTCCCTGTCCATGCACCCCCAGTACCACATCAACAAGCTGTCGCAGAGCGGGGAGGCTGGTGAAGTGGCCAGCACGGATCCGGGGCTGGATGATCTTGACGCAGCCCTGAACAATCTGGAAGTGAAGCTGGAGGGCTCGGCACCCACAGATGTGCTGGTGAGGAGGGCTCAGACCAGGCTGAAGGGCCAGGCTAAGGGGTTCCTGGGCCGCTCTGACTCCTCTCCTTCCCCAGGACAGCCTCACTACCATCCCAGAGCTCAAGGACCATCTCCGAATCTTCCGGTAAGTCTGGCTGTCCGGAGGAAGTGGCAGTGTGTGCCTGGGGTGGCCATTCTCACCCTGCTCTCTCAGGCCCCGGAAGCTGACCCTGAAGGGCTACCGCCAGCACTGGGTGGTATTCAAGGAGACAACGCTGTCTTACTATAAGAGCCAGGACGAGGCCCCGGGGGACCCTATTCAGCAGCTCAACCTCAAGGGTGAGGGAGCAAAAGCAGGGACTGGCAGGACCCCCTCACCCACCTCAGTTTCCTCTGGGAACCAGGGAAGATGACCTCTGTGGGGAGGTGACTGTGGTGGGCTGGCTTCCACACTGGGCTCTTTCAGGCATGTCTTCCCCTCTGAGACTCCCAGCCACCTCTTATCCCTGCAGGCTGTGAGGTGGTCCCGGATGTTAATGTCTCCAGTCAGAAGTTCTGCATCAAACTCCTAGTGCCCTCCCCTGAGGGCATGAGTGAGATCTACCTACGGTGCCAGGATGTGCGTGAGGCTGGCAGGGATGGGGCAAGGCTGAGGCCAGGGCTAAAGTGGCACTCAGGACAGAGATGGGGTGGAGTCTGAGCCCGGCTGACTCCTCACTGCTGTCCTTGTCCCCACCAGGAGCAGCAATATGCCCACTGGATGGCCGGCTGTCGACTGGCCTCCAAGGGCCGTACCATGGCGGACAGCAGCTATGCCAGCGAGGTGCAGGCCATCTTGGCCTTCCTCAGCCTGCAGCGGTCAGGTGGCAGCGGGGGCTCAGGCAACCACACTCAGGGCCCCGATGCTTCTGCTGAGGCCCTCAACCCCTATGGCCTTGTTGCTCCCCGCTTCCAGCGGAAGTTCAAGGCTAAGCAGGTACCCAGAGAGGAGAGAGGGCAGGAATGACCACACCATTTTCCTGGCTACCTCTGACCCCCTATGAGGCTCTCAGAAAATAAGCTTGTGGGCACTTATTCCCTTTCCCAGACCTCTGAAAGTGTCACAATTCAAGTACTCCTGTCCATGCAGGGCCTGCTCAGCTTGCATTTGCCGAGCAATGAGAGGTTGTACTTTGGTGGTTCTGTGTTGGGCACTGGCCTTTTCTTAGGCCCAGTATCCTGTCCCCTGAGGGAGGGGAAGCCCCACCAATTCCTCACTAGTGTGGCCCCACAGCTCACTCCGAGGATCCTTGAGGCCCACCAGAACGTGGCCCAGCTCTCACTGACTGAAGCCCAGCTGCGCTTTATCCAGGCCTGGCAGTCCTTGCCCGATTTTGGCATCTCCTACTTCATGGTCAGGTAAAAGCCCCAGTCCAGCCAAGCACTGCCCTAACCTGCCACCCACCCTCCCACACACTGCCATAGGCAGGCCACTTGAAGATACAAGAGGAGGGGTCGGCGAGATAGCTCAGTGGTCTAAAGCACCTGCTTAGGCAAGCTTAGGCAAACACAGGGACTGCAGTTAGATCCTGAGTACCACATGCCATGCCAGCCCTGCCCCCAAGGCAGGCTGAGCCAGTCATACCACACACACACACACACACACACACACACACACACACACACACAGATACAAGAGGCAGAGCTCAGGTTGGGAAAGTAGGAGACACATTGTCTGTCCAGGCTCTGCCACGAGTCCTTCCCTCTCTGGACCTCCATCACTGTTCTGCAGGATGCCCTTAGATGCCATGACAGGGTGGCCCTCTTTATTCATTTCCCAAACCTGCCAAGACACGGTGGTGGATAATGATGATATACACACTATTATTGGCATTTCAGTGCTGTAAAGTGAATCTATCAAGTAACCTCCATTTTCCAGCTGAGGAACTCAAGCCCTAGAGAATCTGAACAAGTCACTTAGGGTTGCACAGCAGGCGATTGCCAGAGTTGGGATGAGGGCACAGGCCTGTCCTGCTCCATCACACTGGCTCTGGACTTTGTGCCATACTGTCTGGGTGGTCTCTGGGTCATGCAGCCAGAGTCCCTGGTCACACAAACCCTCCCTGCCATCAGGTTCAAGGGCAGCAAGAAGGATGAAATCCTGGGTATTGCCAATAACCGACTGATCCGAATCGACTTGGCTGTGGGCGACGTGGTCAAGACCTGGCGCTTCAGCAACATGCGCCAGTGGAATGTCAACTGGGATATCCGGCAGGTGGGCCCACAGTGAGGGCAGCGGGGACAGGGGACAGATGGTGGAGGCCTTGTTCCTATTCCTCCAGCCCACTGGCACTTCTGACTGCCCGTCCCACAGGTAGCCATCGAGTTTGATGAGCATATCAACGTGGCCTTTAGCTGTGTGTCTGCCAGCTGTCGAATTGTACACGAGTACATCGGGGGCTACATTTTCCTGTCAACTCGGGAGCGGGCCCGTGGGGAGGAGCAGGATGAGGACCTCTTCTTGCAGCTCATAGGTGGCCATGAGGCCTTCTAAGGGCAGTGTGACTACTCATGCTCCACTCACCACCAGTCACAGCCACTCCTGTGCCCACTGGGACTCACTGCCCCACCCTCCACTCCAGGCATTCTCTGAGCTGGGCACTTTCACCTGCTGTCACTGGCAAGCTAGGACCCTGGGTATACCAGACTGCCATCCTGCAGGCTGGGGGTGGGGTGGGCCTGAGCTCATATATTGCCTGCTTTCCCTGTCTGCTTGGCCAAGGCTTATATGCCGACCTATGTGTGGCACAGTTCCCTGAGCACACAAGGACCAGATGTAGGCAAAGGATGAGAAATTCTAGTTTCAAACTGGAGATCTTTTCTTGTTATTTTAAAAGTTTTTAAATAAATATTTTATTGTTTGATCATCCTTCCTCTGGGGCCACTCAGACACTCTGTCTTTTTATCATCAGCCAAGGAGAGAGGTTTTCCTGAGATAAAGAAAAGAGTTAGTTAGATAAAGGGATATCTAGTCAGCCTGGCTTTGGGGATGAGAAAGAGGCGAGGGCACAGGCGTGCGGTTCTCACGGGCAGGCCGAAGCTGCAGGGCTTCCTTGAAGTACTTGGGAAGCAGGAAGCCATTAGAATCTCCTGGAGTCAGGATCACCCCATTGGCAGAGCGGAAGAAGGAGATGCCATCTGCCAACAGAGTTAATGATGTGACTCGTGCAATCCCACCAAAAGGGCCCAGTAGTCCCTTCTGTGATAGCACCCACCTGCCAGGGCCAGAGGTCCATTGATGAACAGGGCCACGTCACAATTCCGGCGCATACCTAGAGGGACAATTGGAACTTGGGGGCAACTAGCAAACCAGGGCAGAGTAGTCCTAAGGTGAGGTGCACAGAAGGGTACATTGCTGTGTAAGGCTAGGGGAGGCAGTCTTAGGCAAAGAAGGCTGAGACCCTTGGAGGGGACCTGTGAGGTCAGAATGAGTAGGAATAGATGGGTAGAGGGGGCACTGACCACTGATGACACCAGGATCCCCAGGCAGTCCTGGAGCCAAGTGAATGTGTGTCCTTCCCTGGCATGACAGGCCCTTGAGCAGGATGGACGGCCAGTTTTTCCAGTATGTACCATGGACCAGCACCTGGGGCAGAGCCTGCGGTGTCTCAAGGGACACCAGTTCCAAATCAGGCACCTGTGTGAGATAGGTGGTTGAATGGGCAGCAGTGAGACCTCTGCTGTGGATAGGGGTCCAACTTGGCTTTCCCACCTATCCCCTTGGCACCCACCTGCAAGGAGTGCCCCTGATTAGCCCGGATGAAGGGGCCAGTGCTGGGGTCTCCTGGTCGCAGGGTGAACCGCTGCTTCTCATTGGCATCTACCACACGCTGTACATCTTCAGTGGAGAAGCTGTGGAACTGTGGCAGCTTCAGGAGGCTGAGCACAGGCACAAAGCCATCTGTGGGCAGACAGGTGCTTATGTGTCAACCTTGCTATGGCCAGGCCATGGTTCATGAGGAGCCACAGGCAGCCAGAACAAAGATGAGGCCTACAGATCACATGGGCTTCATCTAGTGACCTCCAGGAAAGTTCCCCTTTCTGGGCCTCCTCAGTTTTTGTAATTTATACAGGAAGAGAAGTTATCTCGGGGAGGTTCACACAAGTAAAGTGCTTAGTATTGGCCCAAAGTGGATAAACAGTAAACACCACTTACTGCAAGATTTCCTCAGTGCCCATCCTTGTAGTGTTTGTTTACTGGGTCATCTGACGGGCAGGAAACCACCAGAAGGACCACTTGGCTGGACATTACCAGGTCTAGTCCAGTTTCCTCTCCCAGTAGACATGATGTGGGGCCCTGGGCCTAGTCTTCACCCAGCCAAAGAGTGGCAGATTTGGGCTGAACTGGATGGCTATGTGCCTTCCACAGTAACAGGCCCAACTGTGTCCTTCTCCAGCACATGGTGCCTGCTGTGCCTTTTCCATGGCCCGATGATGGGAGCAACAGTGCAGGGGGCACAGACAGATTCATACTGCTTCTTGAGTTCCAACCACACCTCCCTGGCCACTGAGATCCGCACTTACCAGCTTCCATGGGAAGCCCCAGCTTCAAGGCCCCGTGACGCAGGACGTAGGACAGAGCCTTAGACAGCTGCACATCTCGGTCCTGCAAAGAGTCCAGGGGTGGCTTGGGTCTCTGTAATTTGACCTGGCCCTGCTACCCAATCAGAGCTCAGTGAACTGCTGCAGAGGGAGAGGAATTTCTGTGGTCTCTGGGACCAGAAAAACTCCTGTCCACTCACGGAAGCCAGGCCTCCTGAGTTTCCCCCACTCCATCCTCCCCCAGCCAGGCGAGGGTGAGAAGAAGCGCACCTGCTCCCGGGGTCGGGGAGCTCTTCTACTCTTGGGCCCTGCTGCCTCTCGGCTTCTTCCTCTAGAGGAGTTCATGCTCCAGACCTGGGGGTATGGGAGGAACGACTTGTGGAGACTGATTTAAAGATCTCCTCATGTCTCCACCCTGCTCGGAAAGTCACAAAGGCTCAGCACATCGTAAGAGCTCGGTGGCGGAGGTACTGCTCATGACATTCGGCGCCCACCCTTGAAGCTCGGTTGCAGGCGACAGCGAAGCCCCCTGCTGGCGAGACTCGCAAGGTCACACAGGCAGCCACAGCTATTGGGGAGCCAAGCCCTACCGCCTTAGGAGAGACACAGAGCGCAGGTTGACCCTGGAGAAAGGACCTACAGCCTCTCGGTGGCAGCTAACCACAGCGCTTCGCCACCCACCAATCAGAAGGCACCGAAAAAGGGGCGGGCACTTCCGTTTCAGGGGGGGAAATGGTGGAGGCTGCGCACCCGGCTTGCGGGTAAGTTTTCAAGTACCGGCCGAGGCTAGAGCTTCTGTACTTCCGGATTCTGAAGGGCCTTTCTGTATGTCCATGGTTGGCAGAATCCCTAGGTTTGGGGGATAGGGACATCTGAGGGACCCAGGACTTCTGGGTGGTAGGGATTTCTAGAAGTCCCAGGAATTTCTGGCTGCAAGAGTCTCCCACATCCAGCCGACGCTTGAGGGGGTTGCTGGGATAATGGGATAGTAGCTCCCCAGGAGTCATCCGGGAGGTTCGAAGCGGGGCGGTGGGGGTACCCTGAAGAGGTCCGTGGCAGAATCTGACAACTGGGCCGAAGAATGGCAGTGTGCCTTCCATGGTGATAGGCCCTACTGTGTTCTTCGCCAGAGCTCTTCCCTGTCCAGAGTATGGACCCTGAGGTGTCCCTGCTGCTGCAGTGCCCTCCTGGGGGACTACCCCAGGAGCAGGTAAGGGTGGAGCTGAGCCAAGCCTATGATCGTCACCCACTACCAGGAGGGGACAAGACCATCACAGCCATCTGGGAGAGCAGGCTACAGACCCAGCCCTGGCTCTTCAATGCCCCTAAATTCCGTCTGCATTCTGCCACACTGGCACCCGCTGACTTTTCTGGATCACAGCTGCTCCTGCGCCTGGGCCTGACTTCCTACAGAGACTTCCTGGGTACCAACTGGGCCAGCTCAGCCTCCTGGCTGCGACAGCGGGGCGCTACTGATTGGAATGACAAGCAAGCCTACCTGGCTGACCCACTCGGGGTGGGTGCTGCCCTAGTCACAGCTAACAACTTCCTTGTCTTCTTGCGACGCTCTTGGCAGGTGGCCGAGGCCCCTGGACTGGTGGATGTACCTGGTGGGCACCCTGAACCACAGGTGAGATGCCAGGCTGGATATAAAGACACAAAACTCCAGATAGTTCAGGAAAAGCTGGACCTGTAAGCCCTCCCAGCTCAGGGAAATGTGTCCTGGTATTTCTCAGTTGGTTCAGGGTAGCCTTGCAGCTGGGGACAGGCATGAGCCAGCTCTGACTACAGCCTACACAGTTGTACACTTTTAGATGGGGACAAGGGAATCACTGCTATCTGGAAAACACTGCTACTGAGCTAAACTGCAGCAGACCAGTGGGGAGGGGAATAGGCAGAGGAAGAAGATACCTTACCCTCCCCCATGTGGTCCCCTCCTAGCTAGACCTCTGGTTTTTCAACTGGACAAAAGGGGCCTGGGTTAAGGGACCATTAAGACTTACGCTGTGTCTACTTTAAGCCACCAGAGCCAGCAAGGGGAAAGACAGGGTGGGAAGAGGCAAAGGGCAGAGGCTGAGCCTGACCTCTCACAGGCCCTGTGTCCTGGTGACAGCCCCCAACACAAGGACCTTCCTGGGGAGCTGGTGGTGCGAGAGCTCTTCTCCAGTGTCCTGCAGGAGATCTGTGATGAGGTGAGGGGTAGTTCTTACAGAATGGTGGGTATGAAGAGAAGGGGTAGAACTTGCTAGATTTCCACAGGTCTGGGCTGGTGGGAGGTCTACAGCAACCTAGATGGCATAAAGGGAAGAGCTTGGCTTTGCATGTTGGTATACTGAAAAGTAGAATTCTAAACTGGGTTTGGTGGTACCCTCCTGCGAACTCAGCACTTGAGAAGCTGAGGCAGGAGGATTGCCTCAATTTCAAGGGCAGCCTGGTCTACACAGTGAGTTCAAGTCCAATTCTGAACTACAGATCAAGACCCTGTCTTGAAAAAAGGTAGAATTCTCGTCCTCAGGCTCTTCATCTTTACCATGTGGATAATGATAAACGTCTTGCCTATTCCCCAAATGGAGTTAGTTGAAAGTGGAGTAAGTGGGGGTCTCAGTAATTGAATTGACTTCCCTGTACAATTTGTTCAATCTCTGTACTTTCGGTTTTCTCATCAGTAAAATGAACATGCCCAAGATCTGATAGATATTGTGATACTAGGAACTTGATCTACAAACCACAAAGGGTGGTAGGTAACAGGGTAATAGGCTGTTCTTTGCTGAGGGGAGGGATGTGGGCAGTGGGCACTGACAGGTGGGATCCCCTACCCCAGGTGAACCTGCCGCTGCTCACCCTGAGCCAGCCCCTGCTTTTGGGCATTGCCCGCAATGAGACCAGTGCTGGTCGTGCCAGTGCCGAGTTCTACGTCCAGTGAGTGACGGGGCACAGTAGTAACTTGAGTCCTGGTGGAGATGGGTGGTAAGGGCTGGGGCTGAGGCCGCTGAGTTTCCACAGGGATCTTTCAGATGTTCCCCAGGCCATACGCATGTCTTTGTATAGGTGCAGCCTGACTTCTGAGGAGGTGAGGAACTGCTACTTAGGCGGGGGACCTGAGGCCCACGAGTCTACAGGCATCATCTTTGTGGAGGCACAGGTGCGGGGCAGTGGAGGCATCTTGCTTGGCCTCCAGGGCTGGGGTCCGAAGAGAGGCCTGGTTGGAGAGGGTGGCTGGGTCAGCTAGGGAACCCCAGGCCTCTTGGGGTTTTCTCTAGAATCACATACAAGCTTGCCCTCTGCCTAAGGGAAAGGACAAGGTCTGTGAATCCCTGGTAACGCCTCCCTAGGGCTGGTGCAGCGTGAGGGCTCTGAATCTTGGGAGTTCTGGGCACAGCCCCAGCAGGAGACAAGGGCTGGATGTTTGGGTCTCCCTGTCTTCCTACAGAAGATGCAGAGATTGCGGGAGACCGAGATGTGGGCTGAGCTCTGCCCCTCAGCCAAAGGGGCAATCCTCCTTTACAACCAGGTCCAGGGAAGTGCCATCTGAGTTGTCCTGGGGTCCCCACCCAGCCCTGTCTACAGCTCTGATGACAATAAAGGACTTTATTCTCAGATTCCGTTGGCCATCTGCTGTTTCCATGAGAGAAGGGGGTCGCTGGGAGAGGCCTGGGTGGGTGAGGGACAGAACACTTGGCGACTTGGAATGAGGGCCGTGACACCCACGCCAGGGACTGGTAACGTTCCTGGACGCTGCGGTGAAACGTGCCACGGAACCGGTAGAGGGTGGGGGAGGCAGCAGTTGATCTCAAAGCCTCGCTGAGTCAACCCGGCTCTGCCAGTCTGCAGGCTGAGAAGGTGTCCGAGGCTGACGGGAGTACAGGGGTGGGGCCGTAGCGCTTGAGCAAATGAGGATCCAGGGGCGGGGCCGGTAGAGGCACAGGAAATGTCGGAGACCTCGGAGTCGGTAGTCTGTGAGTGGGATTGGGGGCGGGGTTTGACCGTCGCTCCTCCCTCATCCCCCCAACATCGTGTTTGGGGACAGGGTCGTGGCGTCAGTGCAGGTGGCCCAGATCCAAAGGATACTCCGGAAAGGCCCCGGGGTACCTGGGTCGGATCCTGACCAAGGAGTCCCTGCTCCCCGGCCTCCCGCAGTCTACCTTAGCAAGAAGTTCAGGCCAAGTCCCTTCCGTCTGCCCCGGCCCGGGAACCCTGAAGTCTGCCCTGATCTGATCCCAATGCATCCCCACCTTGGTGGCCTCCTTTCTCCAGCTGCCCACCTGCCGCCATGCAGACCCTACTGCCCCTGCGCCTGTGTCGGCTGTGGCCCCACAGCCCTCCTGTCCGGCTCCTGTCAGCAGCCACTGGGCACCGGTGAGTTGGATGTCAAGATGGGTTGTTGAGTGGGTTTCTGTTGAGATCCTGACTCTAGGCCTCACCCTACAAGCTGAGATCGCTAAGGTGTCTACAGTGTCAGGTACCTTACAGGCCTGTCTCATGTAACACTCACCTGCACCGCTGAGGACCCTGAAGATGGAGAGTGAGAGATGACACATACCGTCAGCAGGATGTGGTGGTACCGGCCTGAAATCCTAGCACTCTGGGAGGCTGAGATAGGAGGATTACAAATTAGAACCCAGCCTGGACAATTTAGTGATTTAGCCAGACTCACAAGAAGAGGGAAGAAAGGGAGAGAGAGAAAAGAGAAGGGGAGGGGAGGAAAAAGGAGAAGGAAGGGAAGAAGAGAAGATGTAGCTTAATGTGAATGCCTTGAGTTTAGTTACCAGTGGTTGGGGGGAATGATGACAATATCATACAGTAAGTTAGGTGGCACATCAGAAATTTGAGGGAGCCGGTGAAATAGCTCAGTGGGCTAAAGCACCTGCCTAGGCAAGCTTAGACAAACACAGGGATTGCCAGGGATTGCCAGGGATTGCGGTTTGAATGCCAGGCCAGGCCCAAGCCCAGGGCAGGCTGAGTCAGCCACAAAAAAAAAAAAAAAAAAAAAAAAGAATTAGAAATTTGAGGCCAAGTTTTTTTGTTTTTCTTTTTTCTTTTATTTTCTTTTTTTTTTTTTGTGGAACCAGGGATTGAACTCAGACCCTTGTGATTGCCAGGGAAGCACTTATTCCACAGCCATCTCCCCGGCCATGAGGCCAAGTTAAACCACCTCAGCATGCCCCAGGGATGAGCCTGCACAACAGGCGTAGAGATGGAACTCCGGCCCCTGCACCTGCTTGCAGGCTGTTTAATCCACTGAGCTATTTGGCCGGGCCAAAATTACAGACTCACTGAGAAAGGGAAGGATGAGTACAAAGATGCAGATTCCTGGGCCCTAGGAAGTGAACCCAGAACCTCGTGCACAGTAGATAATCTACCATTGAGCTAGAGCATATCTAGCTCTTTTTTATTCTGAGGGACCAGATCTTACTAAGTTGCCCAGGCTGGCACTAAATTTGTGATCCTCCTGTCTCAGCCTCCCAAGTAGCTGGGACTACAGGAATGTGACAATGGACTCAACTCTCTTCTTCTTCTTCTTCTTCTTCTTCTTCTTCTTCTTCTTCTTCTTCTTCTTCTT